CTCTCTCTCTCTCTCTCTCTCTCTCTCTCTCTCTCTCTCTCTCTCTCCCCCTCTTTCTCTTCAAGAAGCATACGGTAGGTTTCGGTGGATTACATACTATTCTCGCGGAATATATTCTCAGTGATTCGAATCGTTGGAGCGTCCTTAGAAAAGACAGACGCGTGTCGCGCATCTTCTTGCTCGCTCTTGTCGCCGCAGCGTCTCTCGCGGCTCCTTTGATCTCCTCTCCCTCTTCAAGTGACATCACCCGAATGTCGTGCATCTCACAAAAGGGAATCGCGATCTTCTTGGGTCATGCGCTCGAGTTTTGTTATTTATTCGTCGGAGAAGAGAGTAATCTGTCGCTCGCTTTTCAACATCTTCAGCGATTTATCTACTATTCTTACATATTTTAAAGGCATTTGATTGAAGTTTCTGACTTTAAGATAACATGGTTGGAGTCACCGAAAAATATGGCGTACGGAAGATATCGATGATAATCGTAGAATTCAATCTTTTATCTCCCCCCGAAGAATAAAATTGCTTTTATTTATTAAGGTTTAAGTAGCGATTATCTTATAACCTGATTGTGTTAGCGAATTAGCAAGAATTATTTCGATCTGTGCTAAAGAAGGCTAATGCACAGTCGAATGCGCCAGCGGTTTAAATAATTTTGCAAACATTTTTATAAATTTATACCAAGTTAATCGCAATTTAAGAGATAAATGGTACAACAAAGGCGATCTGAGTGAACAATAATACTAATAGTAAAGATTTAAAAATTAAAAAGTTAATGTTGAAAACGAGAAAGTTTTTGATTAAATTTTTTTAAATTTGCTAGAAATGACAAAACGCGCGCTTCGCGCGCGCAGTTTGTGGTTGGGCATTTTATATTTTTAAGAATTTGTATACACGCAAATAAGTAATTGTATGCGCAATGTCAATTTAAAATAAAACGTAATTTATCACTCACGATTCGCAACAGCAGAGTTGTACATCGTCAATCACTATATATGTGGTACTGTAACAATACAAATATGTACATGATTATTATAGATTAATTATGTAAAATAGAAATTATTGTATTAAATATACTTAATATTTTTTAAACTAGGTACTTATTAAAATAATTATATAGAAAGTACTGAGAAAGTCTTCCTTTTAAATATGAACTCACAAAATTCTATATGGTTTTGTCTCTAACACTTATTCGAATTCTCGTTCGAATCATTTGAATAAATAAAATGAAAACACAACAGATGCTTTATTTTACACAAGTAGCAAACAATATAAAAATGTACGACACTTACCTCACCATTTCTCCGACGTTGCCCGATGCCTCCCTAGGCCTGCTCCTCCTCTCTGATGTCCTTGTTGCACTAACGCAGCACTCACTCGCAAAAATCATCGATCGCGCGAAATTTCGGGCACTCCCGTACGCGATGTGAATTACCGCGAAACGCACGAAATGTTATTAACAATCGTACAAATTGCTCGAACAACTTGCATTTTTGATTCGGCAGAATGGATAAAACACTTTTGAACTGGCGATATAAAACGCGAGCATCGGAAGTAAAATCTGCGGCAAAGAAATAGTTATTAGTCCGCAACGTAACGATATTTTACAATCTTTGTCATTCAATCTAATCCTCGAAACAGATTACGCGAAATCGACAGATAATTAAAAGCGCGGTGCGTAAACGAGATGTAACCGCGACAAAGTACCACGGTTTACACTCACATTTTAGATGAGTCAGTCTCGTGAAATATCTATGAGAGCCGTCGCCTCAACACGCAATTTGTTTCTTATTGCAAGTTGTAGAAATTAATCATTAATCGAGGAACGTTACTTGTTACTGACAAAGATGTACAAATCGAAAGCGTTTTATCCACACATTTATCGCGATCGAGTCTTAGAAACCGATAACGCGAAAGTAATAGCACACACGGAGCGACTCTCGCCACTGCCTGCCGGCTCGACGTTCGGCGAGCGAGTCAGAGCGCGGCCGACCTTCAGGTACACGATGGCACGCAAAAACATCGTACGTCACCGCGTCGAGTGAAAAACAACAAAAAAACGTTGAGAATTCGTTGGCCTGCCTACGCAATGGAAAATTCCGTACTTAATATTTTATTGTATAATACATTACTTTGTTCCGTGACTGTTGCTACGTTTTGCGTATTATTCCGCGGACTTAACCATGTTTTGTGTATTATTCTGCGGACTTATTCGCATTGATTAAATTAACGATTAATTCTGTTGAATCGAGAAAATGTTCCGAAATAAAAATCGTTGTTACTTCAATTCTAATTGCTAAGAACATCAAATTTGGTTGACCATATCTGGCAATTTTAATGTTTAAGAATCGCAATCGGTCAACCAAATTTGATGTTGTTAATTATTGCTGGCGATCCTGAAGATTCTTCCTGTTAGCTAATTACTAAGATTAGAGATTTCACCCGAATAGTTGGCGTATACAAATGTATATTTCTAAATTGCAAATCTTTATTTACTACACTGAGAAAAATGTCCGATTAAATATAATCGGATATTCCAATTACATGATAACAAACGGATATATCTGATTAAATTGTATATCCGATGAAAAATTTGATCGGTTTTTCAATCAAATTTCCTCGGATATATCCATAATTATATCGAAAAACGTAATCGGAAAAATTAACCATCGGACATGCTATTTAATTGGTTTATCCGATGAAAATGTTTCTCAGTGTACAGACCGACAGTGTCCCACTATTTAGATTAAGTCAAAGAACAGCATGGTATCATTGAAATTAAATTTAGATTCGCGCTGGTAACATCTCTTTTTTAGAAAGGGATTAGGAGGTAGATTAGAATGCCGCGAATCCGAAATGCGACAGCATATCTTACGCTCTTTTGCCGTTTTAATTACGAGCTGCTATTACTCTGCCACCTGATATTCGTTTTCAACAATAGAATTAAACGTTTCGCAAAAACAGCTGCGAAAACTATTACTCCAATTACCCGTGTCTAGTTTAATTTCCTTAAGCAAGATCTTCCCGCTGAAAACCCGTTGTCTCGCGTTCGCGTAACATTCAACACAAGCGCACGGCCCTCATGCGCCTTTTCTCTGATCTCACATCCGCCTCCTGTGTGTGTTGCAGAAACAAACGGCCTGAGGATGCTGGAGCTGGTAGTGCCGCAGCACGCGGTGTACGGGGCAAATGTAAGCCTCGAGTGCAACTTTAATCTGGACGGCGAGAAGCTGTACTCGGTCAAGTGGTACAAGGACGGCAACGAGTTCTACCGATTCGTACCCCAGGAGAAGCCACCTGCTCTGAACTTCGTTCATCCCGGTGTCACGGCAGTGGTAAGGATAGCTAACTACTCCCTCCCTCCCTTCCTCCCCCTATTTCTCCTCGCTTCCCTTCGTTTTTCGCGTGAAACTTTAGCAATGAAAAGCCGCAAGGAAAAACGTATCACGTTCGTATTCTATGCGAGGCCTGGGGGTAGAGCGGGGCTGTTTTGCGCCACTGCGCAATAATCTCTCTGTCGCATTAAACTGGACTCTGCGGACAAAGATCTCCCTCGTTGCTCAACATTCCGCACTTTCTGTGGAACGAAATTGAAAGGGTTCGATATAAAAACGGCATAAACCCGTAAGAGCCGTCCATTCCTCGAAGTCGAATACGTTCTCGCGCCGAACCCTTGTGCAATATCTCGCGCCTCGCGATCGGCCCGACGTACCTGTACGTCGTATTGGCCGTCGTGAATCGCCTCGAACGCGAGCCGACGATCAAGACCCCGGGAAAGAAAGTGCACCCGGGGAGTACAGGGTGTTTTGATTCCGCGTCGTTTCCACGTTAGAGTTGCCGTGTGCTGGGGCTATCCCCCTGGGAGTGGCGTCAATGATTGACCCACTTTCGACCGCGTACGGACTTGGATTCTTAAACGCGCGTCAATCACGAGGAGCGAAAAATCCAGACTGTTACACTCGACGGCGGCAACTATCCCGCGCCGTCTGCCCTCATATTTGTGTCGCTTAAAAATAAATCGCCCGTTCCGCTCGCTCGGATATATTTCCCGGTCGGAAAGCAAATAGGCGGGCAAAATGTGAACTAGTTTGAAAATAGCGAGCGATCGACAACGCGAAATTCGCCAACGTACACACGGCTTCATTAATGCCCGCCCGTCTGAAGTTTGCGCGCGGATCGAGGCACGTTTGAAAAGCGTGCGACTTTCTAATTGTTTGTGCATTATGACTATGTAAATGGCAATGCTGATTCGCCCTTTTCACAGTCATGATACACGAGGAGTTAGAAAGTCGCACGCTTTTCAAACGTGCCTCGATCCTCGTGCAACTTCAGTTGGGTAGGCATCAATGACGCCGTGTGTAGTCTTATTCATTAATGCCTGGACCTGCATTTTTATCATTTTTCTCATCTGTCTCACTGAGTTTCAGGCTGTATGTTTGTATTACCACAGACTTCTATAGAAGCTGCGTGAACTACAGTCTGAAAGATTATGAAAATGTGAATCCTAGTAAAACCATAGTGTAACTAGTAGGTCCACTCTCTGTCGGCCCCTTTGATCTTTGGTCTAGCGGTCCCGATCACGCTACCATCCATGCAACTTTTTTCTCATAGGTCTGCCTAGAACGATATGACGGAGTGGACCTACTAGTAATACTAGGGTAAAACTAAGGTCCAGGCATTAATGAATAAGACACCGTGCGTGTACGGTGATACTTTGTAAAAGTCAATCAGTAAATTATCACTGAACTTTCAGTGGTACACTTACAACTGCAAATCCAGTGACTATTCACCGTCTCCAGTGATAATCCACTGATTGGCTCTTAGAGAGTACATTTTCGTAATTTCAGTTTCCAAGTCGCGTCATCGAGAGACGTTGGTTATGAGCGACGTTCGCTCGCGCTTCCTGGGCATGAACAAATAGGTACCGCGCGCGGAAGCGCCGGCCCTTCCCGAAATTCCCCCGTCGCCGTCGTCTTGGGCCCTCCCCCTCCCCCTCCCACCCGCGCTTGGCTAAAATGGCTTTCCATTCACGTCAAGACGTCGGATTAATGCTGCATTACGCGCACCGAGCGGCGGAATAAACAAAGACGGGGCGACCACCGGCACGCGATCTTGGTCATAATGAGCCTTAATATTAACATTAATCACCGCGCGAGATTGGCGCTCGGGAGCGCCCTTAGAAATTATCGGTCTACCCCCGGTCGTTATCGCTGTTTATAATTACATCGATTAGTATAATGAATCGTGAAATGCGCTCCCCGCGCGCGCGGAGATGAAAATTGCGAGGATGCCAACGACGATGACCCGAGCCCCGGCCCCCTCGTCCCCCTTGTCGCGTTCTTCGCCAAACTAATTTAATGTGGGGACGTTGTTCGTTAAGCGCATCGTCGTCGCGGGCACGTCTAAAATTGCCTGTCGTTGTCGTCGTCGTCGTCGTCGTCGTCGTTGTCATCGTCGTCGTCGCCGCCGCCGCCGCCGTCGCAAAAGATAACGCATTACAAATTGATCCCGAGGGGGAGTCGCTCTTCCTCGCCACCCCCTCCTGAGTCGCATCCTCCCTCTTTTGGGTTAATGATATTTCCAATAATTTCAATTCCTCGTCGTCGTCGACTATATCACTCGCTCGGTTTTCCGCGCCATTGAGTGATACGAAAAAATTCCGGTCCTCCCCGCACGGCACGAAAGCCCACGCTGGAGCGAGAGCCTTCCGTACGTGCCCGGGGGTGATGGGGTGATTCACTGGACCAGCAGCGGGGAAATTTTCAACGGAAGTTGTCGGAGGGAGGTTCATTTCGCGCGGTGGACGTATATATACGTATCTCTCTCCCTCTCGATTTTATTCGTTCATTCGTCCGAGATTTAGAGAGGCGAAATAAAAACTAGACACTTAATCCGGTCGTTTCTCGAAAATAATGTCGGGAGCGCGGAATTTACCGCTCGCCATCGGAATTAATGGGAAGACATTGTGGAAATAGCGGTTTAATACTAATATGAGATGATCGAAATTTCATCGTGATTCCCTCTACCTCTCTCTCTCTCTCTCTCTCTATTCTATTTCTCTCGGTTAATAGAATGAATAAATTGCATTAGAGGGGGATTTTAATTCACGGCGTTCCGCGTACCTCGCCGAGTCGGTTTGCGGCGCAGCGGATTTTTCAGCGTGACGAATTGGCTATTATGTCGCAATCTCTCCTTTTGTCTTTCAGGTTCACGAGTCCAGTCAACGAATGGTCACCCTTCGTTCCGTGAACCTCATGAGCACGGGACGCTACAGATGCGAGGTCTCGGCGGAGGCGCCGTCCTTCCAGACCGTTTCCGACCACTCGGATATGACGGTAATCGGTAAGGAGCGACGGAGCAGATTCGTATTAATTAAGAGTTTTGTCTTACAAAGAAATCGCGCAATAACGGCGATCCGGGCCTCTTGGCAAACTTGGATATTATTGCGCCCTGCTTATTCCCGCGAGGACGCTCCCTCCGAGCAAATGTTGGCGCTATCACCGACCGGCCGAGGGGAGGGAGCGAGAAATTGCGTCGACTAATCGCAATTTTATTCACGTTCGAATTAAAATCAAACCGTGAAAAGGGGATTTATCGCGCGCGGTGCCCGGTGTGGGGATATGACTCGACTTGAAACGGTTTAATTCCGAGACAAAGATTTATCCGTGTCATTTAACGGCGGAGGGATTTCGGTTTCACGTTCGAGAAGACGAAGAGCGGATTTTCCGCCGCGGGATTAGGAATTTTAGCCTGCGGCTCTGAAGATTTCATAAGCCACTTAACGCGAGAATTAAAACGAATCGCGGTTCCAATACCTCCGAGAGAGTTAATTAACGTCGCGTCGGCTTGGCGCGATCTCGCGTGAGAGAGGGCACGTTTATCCCTTAAAGATATCGACCTGCGACCGATGACGAATCACTGACGATTCGTCCCGCGACGGTAATGCGTCTGTGACTTTCGACTGGTAACTTTTCAACCGTTTTTCGTTAATCTTGCCTTATTATCGTCGCGCGCACCAGAAGCGAAGCCTTTCCCTTCAGCCGCGGACATTGACAAACTCGAAACCGATATTCGCTCAATTATTTATCGCAATTTTCCCGCGAACCGAATTAAATTCATTGATGCAAAATCCGCCCCGGCTCTTTTATTTTCAATCATTCCGAGCTCGAGTATTATCGACGCTCGCGTAACACTCTTCGCAAATTGAAGTCTTGATTAATAATATCGTATGAGGAATATCGATCCGCGGTAACCGCGTCGATCCTCCGAGATTGTTTAAGTCTAAATAAGATTTTCCATCCAATCTTTTTAATCCACGCAGGGCGGATTCGATTATTTATTCTCTCTGCCGAGCGACAAGATCTCGATCGCTCGAGTTTTTTGCGCCAGGCAGCCAGTTACCCCGCGCACGTTCGTATATCTGTGCCTGCGTATATAGCGTGTATAAAGTTAAATGCGTTATATCGAGTGCAATGATTACAGCGAAGTGTTACTCTATTAAAATTTCCGCGCTGGTAAGCGTAAACAAGTTAAGCTCGCCGCAACAAAATTACGGTTCGAGCGGTATTGCGTTAAAATATTCGAGCGGGCGTGCAAGTTAAAAGCCCCCGGTCGCTCGGTTTAATCGAAGAACATCGCGTCCTTTTTGTCACAGCAGATTATTTTACGTGCATCTACATATTTCCAGCCCTGCCGGAGGACGAGCCCGTTATCACGGGACGACCCGTCACGGGGAAACATCGTTATCAAGTCGGCGACGTCGTGCGGTTCAATTGCACTTCGGCGAAGTCGAAGCCACATGCCACGCTCAGCTGGTTCATCAACGGCGAGCCCGTGAGTGCTCGAGACGCAGAGCGTCTCTCCCTCTCTCTCTCTCGATCTCTCTCTCTGCTTGCGTACCGCAACCGTGAATGTCTTCTCAGGCTGTCGGAAGCGTAAAAGTTTCGCGGCGACGTCACCCGACGTCCGAGATAAGCCACGATCCCGGCAAATCCGTCTAGAGTAGTCTCGGAATTCACGCGCGTTCACGCACGACGCAGTTTGCTGACGGGAACAGGCCTTATCTATGAATTCTCTCAAACTAGTTGTATCGTTACCGCTCATAAGGAACGTTTTTCTGTGCACTCAACAAAGTATCTTACTAACGCAGGTAGATTTCTAGGTATTGCAACCAAAATTTATCGCCACTTTTTGTATCTGTTGGAAAATTCTTTGTAGCCTGCCAAATTTATAGCAGCAACATTCTAGCAATATCTTCTGGGAAGTTTAACTTTCATGACTGAATATTAATCATTCGCATCGTATAAAAATTAATTTCGGTACCATAGCTGGAACAATCTTTGTAAGGAATATAACTGGTTATGCATCGCAATCAAACGATGGATGGGCGCCACGGAAAGACTTTCTTCCTAACATTCGCCAACAGTTCAGATAGAAATTCTATTTATGTTGTTTAAATCATAGGCGATTTCGCAGTATTGGCTATTCATTCATATATCTCGGTTATTTCTTTCGTACCTGTTGCTGTAGTTGCGAGATCATTTTTTCACTGTCTATAATTAGAGGGAAATCCCCTATTACGAGATAGGATTCTAATATGACATAGCGGGGTCTCTGTTAAATTAATAGGCATCGCCAGTTGATTCTACCGCGAATTTATTGCCCTTGGAGCGAAATCTGTTCAGTGGAAGATTCATCGTTAGATCGTGCGATCGTTGCGGAAAAAGATTTGTGATTGAATACCTGCTGTCTCACATCAGAAACCTATCTCATAATAGAGGACTCTCCTCTATATACGCGTGTAATTATTTTTCAACTTTCCAAGGATGGCAGAGAGCTCAATTGTCTCGACTTTTTCCGAGATAATAATTGTATGATTGGAGATTTCATTCTTTTTCATTCCCCGCCGCTTTATATATTCATACATATATAAAGTAAGTTTCAAATTAATATTTAACAGAAACAAAATCCAAGTAGACTCCTTATGAATCGAGGGTTCCGCCGCTAAGATATTCATTAGCTGTTCCTACAAGTGTCAAAGTTATATCTTCACGTCTATCTTAATTAGGACTTTTTCCCCCATAATACATCATGTTTTACCGCCATCGTGATATACGCGCCACGAAGTTACGTCCGTAAAAGCGTACTTTGATATTACTATACGGCGAGGAAAAGTCATAACAGTTCCCTCTCTTCTTTTTTCTCTCCTAATTTCTCTCTCTCTCTCTTCTCCCTCTCTTTTGAGCGTTGTCAAAAGTTTTCCATCGCGGCGAATTTCGTTCTTTCGCGAAAATAACGCACCTCTGCAACGACCACCAGCGTGACCGCTAATGTCCCGTTGACTCGCGATTACGCGCTAACAAAGCTCGAGGATTAATTTTGCAAAGTGCATTCTATGGCGCGCGGTGCCTTTTCATTTTTCATACGCGAACAAATAATTGGTTCTTGGGTAATTAATCTTCGGGTGTTGCGAGCGGACGCTCGCGCGCATTCAAAATTGCCTGATTAGCCTTTCAGCGTCCGCGTTACCTCGTGACTTATGAAAATTGGGATTACATTTAATCGCCACTCGAAACGATAATCTTAGATTACGGGGTAATCTCTGTTATCCGATGTTCGGCGAGCGTGTCCGCTGTAAATTACGTCGAAGCCGAGAAAAGTATGAAAGTCGCGCCTAACGTGGAAAACGTTGCAAGGTTGCGCCCAAAGAAATGAGACGTTTAATAATTCCATTATCATAATTAGAATTAGTGTTGTATGTTAGGGCGCTTCTTAATTTTTGTCACAGAAGTTGTAACAAAATTTAATGAGAGAGATAGCAGTCTTCTGCTGAACGATATTAAAAGTTTATATAGTGCCTCTCAGGGAACTCGCGGGTCAAGAGTCAATTTTCTTGGAACGAAGTAGATTAGACAGATAATGCAGTATATTTAATTTGCGATGATAAGCACCGACGACGTTATTACATCTTTTTTTTTCAATGAAAAAAAAGGTAAAAATCCATCTTGAAAACATATTAAAATTGATTCTTAAGACGATCTCGTGTATCCAGAAAATTAGCATCGCTCGTTTCCGCTTCTCTCGTATCATTGCGTATCAAGTGTAACATTATCTTGTCCCGATTCCAATATATTCCAACTAGTCCGCCAATTTTCACTCGCGTTTCGTTTCGTCGGGTAAACTTTCCTATTTTGAGAAAAATATCTCTGCGACATCGTGCTGTTGCTCGAGAAAATCAGATGTGAAAATTAAGAAATGACACCGTCAATTAGCGCAAAAAAGATTGAAGGCAACGATGACTAAGTGCTCGCAAATATTTCCGACGGCGAGGGGAATGTCCGTGCCGGCATCATCGTCATCATAGTTCGGAGTCGAGAGAGAGAGAATATACAGTCCCGCTTCTTCACTTCGATTAGGTCGACCAGCAGTTCTTGAGGCACTACCTCGTTGCCACGGACCGGAACGATCTGGAGACCTCCACACTCGGTCTAGAGTTCCGTCTGCGCCCGAAGCACTTCAAGAAGGGGGACTTGAAGATCAAATGCCTGGCGAGGATATATACCATGTATTGGAAATCGAATGAGCTCAGCATAGAGGGTGAGAGGCCTCTGAAGATACCGGTAATGGAGAGCAGGGAGACAAGGGCGCAAGGGCACACGCACGCCGAGCATATCCTAGGTAAAAAAAAAGAAAGAAAAGAAATCTCCCGGCCGGCCCTTGACTGAGGGGGGGAGATGACGTAGCGACAAGGGCGAAATGTCTGCTCCGCCGCACGAACACGGATTTCTTTGTCGCGTCTTTTCATTTAGCTGCCCTTGCCAACCCTCTACGGGAGAGAGAGACGGATCAAAATTTAAAGAGGAGATGCTCTCCATCTTTTAAATTGGAGCTCAATTATTCGGGATATAAAACTAATTTGCACTTAAATCTCTGCACAATATTTCAATGTGATGGGAGACTAAAGAGAAATTGCGAGTCAAAGCAGCTTGATAAGTACAATTAAATAACGTAAATTTTACTGTACGCGTTTTAATTCAACGTTTGTTAAATATTAATTTGTTCAAAGCGACTCTTTTAAAATAACATTATGAAACGTCAGCATGTTAACTCTCCGCGCGAGGGAGTGACGTTTTGTTTACCACGATATCGAAAGGATTGAAACAAGGGTGCGTCTTAAAGAGCCATTTACCCATCCCTGGCTCGTAAAGGGGGACAAGAATCGCTTTTCAGGCCCGTGGGAAAAAAAAACTGACTGTTTTTCACAGTTCACGTCGTTAATATTGATTACAAGTCCGCAAAAAGTATAGGCTTTGTGGCCGCGCGAGAAGGGCTTAGCGACCGAAATAATGGATCCGGCCCTTTCGGTGTTAACATCTCCAACTCGAAGCTCGTCCTGACGCGCAGATAGTTTAGCAACTCAACGTCGTTTCTCTCCGATACGCTGTTTTAGTTCTATCGCGCAAGCCAAAGGGTAAACACGTAACTCGTTTTGCGCAAAACCCGCACCGGGGACAGCTCCAAGGGAATAAGGAAGGAATTTTGTAGCATGCCGAATCGCGGGCTCGCGCGCGCCCCCGAGGCGAGGCGATCGAAAGATTAAGAATCCAATTTCGCGGACACGGATCCTCGTGTCTCAACCCCCCCCTTTAATTCGGCCATTTTTTTACGGTGTGCTCGGGCGCAAATTTACCTCGGCCAAATTCACTTGACCCCGAGCTTCAATTTCGCAGTTTAAACTTTGAATTTTCCCCGAAATATTTATGAAACGTTCTTTCTTTTTTCAGCGAGCGGAAGTATAGCGCTAGGGCCGTGCGTGGTGCTGGTGATCATGGGATTACTGATGCTGCGGTAAGGAACGAGGGACACCACTCGCCCCACGTGCTCATCCCCTAGGCCTGTGGAAGCCACCCCCTCCTCCCCCCACCCCGTAATGCGATATGATTGCGTAATATATAAAATTACCCGTGTTGTTTATATTTTTTATAATTGCAATTAGTGAAGTTAGAGACCACGTAATAACCGTAGGCAGACGACACTATCGAACTACCCTTAGACGTTACTCGAAATGTTCGGAGGGAGTTTTCGTTGTAAGGGAGCCGCGACGGGATTCTTTCTTTTTCCCTCTCCAGGGGCGATAAGAGAATTATCGGGGAATTTGCGGCGACTCGGTCGTTCGATTTTCACGTTTTACACGGAATCGCTCGCGTCTCTCACGTGCGGCGCGCGCGAGACACGGCGACGGCAACCCGTTGTTCCGTTGTCATAATATTCGTCGAAGGGGGTTGTGCCACCGCCAATACCTGATCGATCGTTTATCGTGGAAATTCCGAGTCGCGACTTTTTACATTGCTTGCGGCGACTCATGCGTAAAGTGCATAAATCAATTTCTTCGGGCACACACACAGATACACATACACACGCAACACGTGGCGCGTGCACTTGGTCTGAATATTCCGCCTGTGTGCGGCCAGCGCGTATCTGCCGTTCGAACCCGTGGCCGCGGGTCCGCGCTTTTATTGAATTTTCATTAGCCGTGCCCGCGTCTGGAACGCTAGAAGTGCGCTTTACTGAGTTTGAAAACAATATAATATTAACGATTTAGCTGCGCGCGAGAAAATTTCCCCGCGATCCGGCGTCGCGCGCAGCTCTGCGAACGTAAAATTAAATATTTCGGCCATTATTCTACGATATCTTTACGTTCGAGTACCAGTCGAAGAGACACCGACACACAAAGATATCTGGGATGTGTCGCTTTTATCTCCGTTCAGATTAATTCCCGCCGGCGCGCCACGCACGCCGCGATTCGCCCCGGACGGCGGATATCTTAGTTTAAGAAAACGAGGGCGACGCACGGCGATGCTGTACACTTACACGCCCGCCGTGTGCGCGCCTCTGTAAATCAATAAAATAAACACGAATCGAGAATCTAGCGCATACAACCGGGCAGAGCAACGCGATGCAACGCAAACAAAACACATCGTCGTTTCTGTTCCGCCACCGTACCCGTAGCCCCTAACGATCTAGTCCGCTATTAATCGTACGTTAACGAGATAATATCCTAGGAATAATTGTACGACGTGTGTGACTGTGTAGCGTGCGTTTACCAAAGATTTTTCGAACTTTTCACGCTAAGCATTCCTAATTAATTGTTAATTAATCACGGTGGCACGGTGTGTAGAGAAGGTTTCGTAAATAAAACTTGCCACGCTCTTTATCTATGGTAGCTCGTAAGGACACACGCTCTTTGTACATATGTATATATATACATACATACATAAAGTAAGCCGGACGATATGTACTTGTCTTTAATTTAACGTTCCAAGGTGAAGCGCCGTAATATAAGAGAACGATACCGTTAAACTCTAATCTGCAGAAATATTTTCTTTAGTAAATCGCGTAAATCTCTCCAGAAATGTGTTGTACATCGATCTAATAAAACCGTAATGAAGGACATGGAGAGTGATGCTGAGGTGTTTATTATCGCATCTCCGGTAAGGGAACGCGGGGGGAAGGCGCTCGTTTAATATTCCTCGCTTTTAATCCGAACTCGTCTCGTACATGTCGCGATAATTACAAAAATTATTGATGAATGTTACAAACTAGATATAGAATAATAATAATAATAATTCCTATAAATACCTTCCATTAAGAATCTTTAAACTCCCATTATACGGCTGCAACAGGAAAGGAAGAAATCAAGCTTAAAGCAAATATCATAAGGTGGTGGCGTTGGAGAGACAGCGTTCCGTGAAGAACGGATGCTTTTTCGCGTGAACGCTGAACGATTTAGCCGGGGACTTGGCGAAAAACTTGAAAATCTTCTGCTCGTTGGGGGCTTGCGTCTCCTCCGCTTCTTCCCACTCCACCTCCAGCGCTTTCGACTGGAGAATCTGTTCGACGGTGGACCAGCTGAAGCGGACCAGCTGCGGGAAGCCGAACACCTGGTCCACGCTCGCGAGCAGCCAACTTTTAGTCGCCGGGTCGTTGGGGTAGCCGCTGCCGTACTCGGTCCCGATGTTCTTGCCCTCGCGAAACCGCCACGCGCGTATCGCGTGATCGCGCGACACCTTGGCGCATATACTGGCCGCGCTGACGACCGGATAGGTCGCGTCGGCTTTCTTCGCCACGACTATCTTGACGCCGGGGAACAGGCCCTGCAGCCTAGCCTGGTAGGACTCGGGCCTGCCGACGGTGTCCACGTAAATCTCGGCGACGTTCACGCCCGCCTCGATCGCTCCCTGGATCAGGTTCGCGGCCGACGTCATGGAGGTCTCGTTCAGCGAGACCTTGGTGCGACGGTACATGCTGTTGGCGATGACGTTGGGCGATATCACGTCGATCGCCCAGCCGATTCTGTCCTCGTGCTTGCAGATTTCCTCGAATATCTCGTCGCGTTTCTTCTCCTTCAGGCTCTTGGAGTCGGCGCAGCTCAGGTCGACGAGCAGCTGCTTCTGGGACAACGGCGCGTACGAGATCCCGTAGACCATCGGACCCAGGACCGGACCGCGACCCGCCTCGTCGACTCCGAGCAGACACGGCTCGTCCTTGCAGATCTCAGGCACCTGTTTCGCATCAGCAAGAGTTAAGTAGGATCATTGCGATATAAATCAAACAAACAAGAGTGCCTTTAGGTCCTAAGTAAATATGAATTTACTGACGACGATTCCATCTGAGTGAAACTGTGTTACGTCCGAAAAGAAACCAGCGCGAAGGACAAGGTAAAAAACGGTACTTATAGAAATTCACACTTTAGATTACAATTATTGGGCTACCAACATCTTGCTCGGACCTAAAGGCGCTCTCGTTCGTTTGATTTTTCTAAAATGTTCGTGAAATGAGATATTTCACGTGTTAAACAGGCGAGATTGTACATAAGAAAAGATTTAAACGCAAAAGGCACAAATTGCAAGAGGCAAATGTACAATTATTTGTTGCAATTATCAAAATGCAGAATACATCAACGTTTATGTTTTAGGACCTGTCCGAGACTGTCGGACGTACGTATTTCATCTCAACACTCTATTGTTTTATTCCATTCGTACGGAAACATCGTACTATTAAAACATTTACCTTCGAAAAGTGAACCTTATTGACGCTGTGGTCGTTACGTTCGAAAAGTTCGAGTAAAATCTTTCTGCCGACAACGCCGTTAATTGCCGCCTCGCACAAATCCTCTTCCTCCTCGGGTTTGCCATTTTTTATCGAATTTTCGTTTACTTCACTCATCTTTACAGTTTTATGCTGGCGCGAAAGCTCGGTCCAAACAACTCGACCTAACCTAAACCAAAACCGGCATAACCTTAAGTCTATTTTCACGTCGCAGACTTCCATACAGAGTACCTCTATATAGAATGCACAGTCTATGTTTGATTGTTGCTTTTAAAAATTTTACAACCAGAAATAATAACGTATAAATAAAATTCATGAGGCTCTCGTGTAATAAACACAAATTCGTAGGAATAAAGACTAATCCCAGTGAGAAATGATTCGTCGATCGACGTCGAAATGATGTCGAATCGACGTCAATTCGATGGTGTCGATGGATTCGACGTCGTTTCGACATCGATCGACGAATCATTTCTCACTGGGAAAGAGCTGTAACAGGATGTTGGTGTTTATAACTAATTCTTATTTTTAATTTAGACAAAAATAACAATTCCCAATCGCTGCCAATAAAAATATATTATTCACCCTGGTGGAAATATTTCACTGAAAATATATAATGAAACTTTGCTAAAATATACTCGACAATCTCTCTCAACGGACCTTTGTTTCATTATCATTTTATCAATACTTCAGTAAAAATTCAATGAAAAATCATCTCAAAAATTTTTCATTAAAAAGTAACACTATTTTTATGGGGATTCAAATTAAATTTTATTTAACATCTAAAATATTTCATAATTTTTCAGTGCCACGCCGTATTTCATCAGAGAGATTATGATTTATTTTGAGATTTTATATTCAATTTTTTAATAATTTTATTTTTCATCAGTTTCATCGATTTTGTGGTATTTTCAGCAAAATATTTCTATCTCGTGGTATGGATATACATATGTATAATTATTAAAATTAATTACTAAATTAATAAAATTAATTAACATTATAATATTAATATGCCAATTACTTTTTATCTATCCACTAAGGAATGAAAAAAAATACCTATTTTCTTGTCTCGCAATATTATATTGAACATATAATTTGCATGTATACGTGTCATAAATTTTTATATGAATTCATACAATGCACTCCGCTAGAAAGAGAGAGGGAGGGAGGGGAGAGAGAGAGAGAGAGAGAGAGAGAGAGAGAGAGAGAGAGAGAGAGAGAGAGTGCTGCTATATAAAGTTCAAATTTTAATACTTTTTCCAGCAGACGTATTGTCGCTTTGATTATCCCCATATTTGTTTTAGTACCCTATGTTTATAGGAGGGTAGGTTGAAAAGTTTTGAGCCTCAACATGAAGATGGCATTACTTGTCCTCGCCATTTCAGTACTGCGACTGTACATACATACATGCGGTACACGCTTTGCAGGATACCTCTGAAAATTTCAGCCATTTTGGACTCCCGTTCGTACGACAGTCGTTTGTGTCGGCTAGTATTTTCGTAAAAATGGAAAGAACCGAATATCGTGCCGTGATAAAATACTTGCATTCAAAAGGCAATACGCCCACGCAAATTAAAACCGAGTTGAACGCTATTTACGGGGACTCTGCTCCATCATTTGCTACCGTGAAAAGATGGGCGGCTGAGTTTAAACGTGGTCGTACCAGCTTGACTGACGATGAACGTTCGGGGCGACCAACGACCGCGACGACCACCGAGAACATTGAAAAAATCCATCAAATGGTACTTGATGACTGTCGAATAAAAATGTGGGAGATAGCAGAGGCTGTAGGCATATCTAAGGAACGCATTAATAATATATTGCACGAAGAATTGGGCATGAGAAAGTTGACTTCGCGTTGGGTGCCGCGTATGCTCACTTTGGATCAAAAACGCGTTCGAATGAACACTTGCAAAACCCTATTGAAGCGATTTCAGCGAAACGAGAAGGATTTTTTGTGTCGATTCATAACGGTAGATGAAACTTGGATCCACCGCTACACTCCTGAGATGAAGCAACGGTCGAAACAATGGATTGCGAAGGGTGAACCTGCTCCAAAGAAGGCGAAGATAGTTTCATCGGCCGGAAAGGTGATGGTGACTGTTTTTTGGGATAGTCATGGCATTGTGTTCATCGACTATCTTGAAAAAGGCAAAACAATCACGGAGAACTACTACGTATCATTACTTGACCAGTTGAAGGCAGAAATTGCCAAAAAACGGCCGCATTTGAACAAGAAGAAAGTGTTGTTCCATCAAGACAACGCACCGTCCCACACGTCGGCGATCGCCATGGCCAAAATTCACGAATTGCAGTACGAACTGATTGACCACCCCCCGTATTCGCCAGATCTAGCCCCCAGTGACTTTTTTCTGTTTCCTAAGCTCAAAGTTTGGCTCGGAGGGCAGAAATTTTCGTCGAACGAGGAGATCATGGCGTCCGTAGATGCCTATTTTGCAGAGCAAGACTCCAACTTTTATTTGGACGGGTTAAAGCGGTTGGAGCAACGCTGGATTAAGTGTATCGACTTAAAAGGAGACTACGTCGAAAAATAAAAGAGAGTTTGACCGAGAAAAGAAATTGTTTCTGTGTCAGGCTCGAAACTTTTCCACCCACCCTCGTATATGTACAGAATAAATCTTTATGTATATACAGAATAAACGGTTGTCCATCCTGACTGTCTCAAATAATTTCCCGAAGAAAAAGAAAACATACTTGTATACATCGTTTCGACGGTGAGGTTATAAGAATAAAGAGACTCGAGTTACATGTGGCATTTCTTGAGATCTTATATCTGCATGTGTGTTTCTCCGTTAAAATTTGCGGTTTAACTGTTATCTAAGCCAGTGAAACTGCCATCGAAAACTAATCCGAGCGAGCATTAAAAATTCAAAGTTCCTTAATTCGAAATCTGATCGATTTCGCAGATTTCCAAGTACGTACACGATATATCTGATCCGTGAAACATCATCCGCGGAATCGCTCCCTAATTCCAGATAGCACAAGACACTCCTATGAACACGTTAAGAATATTTGGAATGTTCCATAGATCTTATATATCTATTTTATGTTCATAGAACATTCGATTGGCGTTACTATAAATCTTTTTTTCAAATGTGAGTAGAGGACTTTCCTCTACGTTTTAATACATATGTTCAATTGTTGATAAATTTTTAATCGATTGCACGCAGGACTAATAATAAAGAAGATATCTTCGATGAGCATGAACGAAGAGTGCATTTACCATTGTCGGACGCGAATAAAAACAAAAACTTCAACTATGTATGGCAAATAGAAAACGTGTGGGATATTGTGAACAATCTACAACATATTGCCAAGTTATACGCTAGCGAATTACGATATTTTTAGCTGTATATGAGTGTTAATCGTTCGAATAATACATTGGAATTTTATGTCACTATGAGGGATGAGACATCAAGTGACATTAAAAGTTTATTTTCGGTGCTTATAAAGACTGCTACTGATAAAGAACTGTTACTAACGAGGTATAGTTGTTTTAAAGAAATTTCCGAACTGTTGTATGATTTAAAGATTGTAAAACTTCAAAACGACATAACGTGCGTCTCCGATAATACACTTACAATGCGTTTTCACTTTAACGTGTACGATACATTTAATACTAGTCTGTTCTATTCGTACAAATTGGGGCAATTGATAGATGTGAAAGAATTAATTCCTGAAAAATCTTATGAATTTGTTACGTTTCTAATAGGCGATCAATATCTTCCTGCAAATAAGGTTTTGTTATCTTTACAAAGTAAATTTTTTAAAGATATGTTTAGTAACAGCGCAAAAAATGAAATAGAAATAACTGATGTAATAACATACATGTATGTTTTACAATATTTATTATATTTTGTAGAAACTGGTAGCTTATATACCAAAGAGATAAAAACAAATGTAAAAATGTTGAGCAAATTGTTTATAGCAGCGGATAAATATGAATTAAAAAATCTTAAATTAGTATATCTGAACAATATATAATAAATATTGTATCGGTAAGGAACGTTGTGCTCATGTTGGAAATTGCACATTTGCATAATGGGGACAATTTAAAAAAATATGCGAAAGATTTTATCAAATTATATTTCGACAATGTTGTAAATACTTTAGAATTTAAACGTCTAACAAAAAAAATTTCCTGATGTATTAATTGAGATACAAAATGGTTATATAGCTAGAGGAGAATTCAACTATGTTAATTGACGATTAAGAGGCTGAATTGATGAAATTGGAATTTTACAAAATTAAACATTATAAACAATATTTACTTGTAATCGAAATCTATGTATACTATTTCTTAAAATAAATTATATCTTGCAAAATGTGTCTGCAGTATCTAAATCGTTTAAGGAGAGAATAATATAAAACCCTAAAATTAATTCATTAATAAATATATTAATTATATTATTATACATAATTTATAATATATAATTATAGGTAATTATTTAGATATAAGGAACTAATTAATAATAAAGAATCACTAAGCGCTTACCAAATTGCCTTTTTCGTTAAACGTAGTCAATGTCACAAGGCTACAAATCAACCGCGATCAGTTAAAAAAATGTGGCATCTCTTGGTGTCCACAAATACTCCTTGCGCGATTATGAAATTACCCGTTTAAATCTAAAGATAACATTTTTTGAAATCGCAATCTATAAAGAGGAAGAGTGATACTATGCTTGCTTAGATAATATATATTAATAGAGAATATTTCTCTATTAATAGTGTGTTCCAGGAGGCCGCGAAGAAGACCGAACCGAGCATCGAGCATGGTGTACCTGCACAGTATTCTCTATTAATATATCTAATCAAGCATAGTATCACTCTTCTCTATTAATAGAGAAACTTGCTGGTGATGGTTTTGATTAATCCCTTAAGCTCTTTTTTTCTACCGGCGTCCTCGTGCACAGTCAGCATGTGCAGGTATACCATGCTCGGTTCGGTCTTCTTCGCGGCCTCCTGGAACACACTATTAATAGAGAAATATTCTCTATTAATATATCTAATCAAGCATAGTATCACTCTTCCTCTTTTTCTTCCTCTTTATAGATTGCAATTTCAAAAAATGTTATCTTTAGATTTAAACGGGTAATTTCATAAGATATTAGTTATTACTTTCTACTATTTTACCACTTACTATTTAAATACATTTCGACCCGTAATCGGCAGCCATTTGCCGCACGCGAGCTACAGCCTCGGGTGTACCGTATTTCACTTCTAAATTTATCCATTTCATGAAGAGAGTTTTCATGTTTTTCATTGGAAACGTTTGGGCACACGCCCGCTCCAACACTTTTCTGCAAAAAAAAATATCCCTCACATAAAATGTACTAAAGAACTAAAAATTCAGATCTGAAACTGATGTATTCTGATAATGTATATTCATCATTGCACGCTACATTTGAGTAATACCATAAAATTTTTATGTACCTGGCAAAATCGATGTTGTTAGACTTTATGAAGGAATCGGCGTAGTATGACCATACGTAGCTGTTTTTGGGATAACTACTCAGGGTCTTCTCGAATATCGATTCTGCTTCTTCGCTGTCTCCCAGTGTGTTCTCCAAAATCGCAAATTGTATCAGCATGTATGCGTCTGCAAACGCACGTCATAGTTTTAAATTAATATTATGATACTGAAATAAGGTGAGGCAATGTTTATGTATGTGTACTTACGCAGCGATGATTTCACGAATTGTAATGATTGCTGCATGAGCCACCGCGATTTCTTCTTCATGCCGAGTTTCAGCAACGCCGAGCAGCATTTTATCCACGTGTTGGGTTGGTCCTTAAACTTGCTGGTCATGCTTTTGATCAATTCCTTAAGCTCTTTTTTTCTACCGGCGTCCTCGTGCACAATCAGCATGTGCAGGTACACCTTGCTCGGTTCGTTCTTCTTCACGGCCTCCTGGAACACGTCGTTCAGAGACTCGGCGGTGCCGTATCTGGACTCCAGGTTCATCCATGCCTTCCACACGTTCAATAACTCATTCAACTCCATGAAATTGATCATTTTCACGGCTTGTCTCGCGACCGCCCTCGCCTTGTCGATCTCCGTAGCCTGCAGATGATACGCCATGTACTGTATATACAGTAGCGAGCTATCAGGGTACGCCAAGACCAATTTGTCAAATTGGTCGACCGTATTGGGTATCTGATTGCTCGCCAGAGCCTCCTCTCGCTGGCGAATCTCACGTTCCTTCTGTCGTTCCTGTTCTCGCCGCTCAGCCGCACTTATCTTCTTTTTCTTCTTCCGCTCAGACTCTTCTTCAGGCTCTTCGTCATCGTCGCTGGACGTTCCAGCAGGAGCAGCCAATTCTACCGTGTTGTTCCAAGAAAATCCGCATTCCGGAAGGCGCAATCTCTTCACTGTTTTTGTTTTTTCTTTGCGTGCAGTTCTTTCCTTTGTTTGTATTTTACGCCTTTTAGGTTTAAGCTCAACCTTGGACGTCTAAGACAAAAGTGTTATTATTTGTTGTGCCCGCGCATTGTGTAGCTCTTCATTATGTACATTGTCTTTATGTAAAACTTTAATCGAATAAAATTGATATTAAAAAAACAGTTTTCAAATACATCCAGAGATGCGATTTAATAATGCAGATTACTGTAATACTTTAAGATAAAGTAAAATTATACTTTTTTCTGTGAATTTCCTCTTAAAATAAACTTAAAAGAAATTAAAATAAGTATTTACCATGGTTGCAGACCTCTTAGTTCCAAGTTCCTTCCCACCTCGAGGAAAACTTTCCATCTAAAAACATACCAATGATTAATCAAAGAAATCGTTATTACAATTACAATTCATTAGTATTCAAAACATAATAAATACTTGTAACGTTGGATCAATTGAGAACCGGGACTAGACATTTTGGCGTCCGAAGGCAAAGAAAAAAAGTGCGCCCTTTAGTAACAAAGATACTTCTTTTACGGTATATAAAATATGAGGATAATTTTACTTAGTTTTATTCGATATATTAATATTGAACGCGGCGTCACGGCGCACAACTTAGGTCGATGGCCCCGCTCGATCGCGTCCCTACAAATCTTTTCACACGTGCCACGCTCGCCAAATCCTAGTCCCGGCTCTAGATAAATTAGATACACGTGATCTCGTCTGTGTGATGCTAAATTTAATGATTATGAATTCCAAACGTTAAGTTTAAAAACGTTTAATTGCAATTATAATCGTACGCCAACACTTTTATCTATAAATTACCTTAATCCAAAATCACGAATTATAACAGAGACAAATCTTGCTAGCACGTGAACACGCGGACTCTTCCCTGCTTTTCACCCAAGTGCGCGCTTGGAATGGATTATGGAACATGCTCGAATGCCTCGAACAATAAACCACTAGATGCGAACCACTAATATAAAAGCATATAAAACTACAGGAGCCATGGCAGAAACCGTAGCGCATGCGCAGAGCAGATTAAAATGACCTTATGATTGGTCCAATCATGGACATCAGCCTGCAGCTCCGCGCGTTCCGAAGCGCATCCGAGGAGGGAGCGGCCGCGGCCTCCGGCGTTTGCGAACGCGCCGTACGACGAGTCGACGTTCGACGTGGCTCCGCTGGCAGGTTTTTCGTCACAAGTGGTGCACGATGAGGCTCGCAGGGAGGTTATTCTGCCTGTTCCTCGTGTTCGCCGGCTCGAACGCCGGCGGACCGGTCCTCGTCCTGCTCGACAATCTCGCGATCAAGGAGACACACTCGATATTCTTCAAGATGTTGCAGGGTACTGGCGCTTTGTCTATCTCCCCCCGAGCGTTTCTCGCCTGCGTTATACGTCGTCGTGGACGTCGGACGCGACGTGCGGAACACGAGTCGCCTCCGAGCCCGCGGAGATTGATGACCGACAATTCGATCTTCCTCAAGTCTTCCTTTCTCGTCCGTGCTCGCAGACGACGTCGAAGCGCAAAATATCGATCCGCTTTCAGCTTTTCTCCAAGGATCTGTATACGCTATTTAACGACACGAATAACGCGTTCATTGATATTTCCGAAAGTATTCACCGCGTGATAACTTGTTGGTTTCAACGCAATTGGTCTCTGGTCATTTTTATAATACGCTATTTACAATGTTGTCTACCCGGACAGCACACACGTCTAAAAGACATCCTTAAGACGTCATTCAGTTGTCTTTTAGACATGCGTGCTGTCTGGGTAATTATTCACTTCTGTGTACTGGTGTGTAATCGTTGCTCTTGTTAAAAGACGGTTGAATAAGTTGGCTAGAATTGACACTAAATGGCCTGTTTAAAATCGTTGCAGACAGCGATTACGCCTTGACGTTCAAGTCGGCTGACGACTCGACCCTGCAGCTCTCCAAGTACGGCGAGTATCTGTACAAGCATCTGATCATATTCGCGCCCACGGTGGAGGAGTTTGGCGGCGCTCTGAGCGTGGACGCGATAACGGAGTTCATAGACGGCGGCGGGAACGTTCTGCTCGCCGGCTCCTCGCAGTCGGGCGACGCTTTGCACGAACTGGCCTCGGAGTGCGGCCTGGAGGTGGACGAGGAGGGCTCCACCGTCATCGATCACATGAACTACGACGTTTCCGACAGCGGCCAGCACACCACTGTAGTGGCGGATCCGGCGAATCTGATCGACGCCCCGGTCATCGTCGGCAGCAAGGACATACCCCCGTTGCTGTATCAGGGAACCGGCCTGATCGCGGACACGGATAACCCATTAATCTTACGCTTATTATCGGCATCCACCTCCGCGTACACCTATTATCCGGATCAACCGGTCAAGGAGTATCCGCACGGCGTTGGCAAGAATACCTTGCTGATAGCGGCTCTGCAGGCGAGAAACAACGCCCGAGTTTTGTTCTCGGGCTCGCTGTTTTTCTTCAGCGACGAGGCGTTCACCAGCCCGGTTCAAAAGGGACAAGGTAAAGAAACGAGAACCAAGCAGGGAAAAAAGAGGAGAAAGTGATTTTTCATTTAGGATGTCGAGAGGATTTACGTGAGACTTAAAGAAGCTCGTTTGCTCGTAGGTGGCCAGAAATACGACAAGTCCGGCAACCAGGTGGTGGCCAAGGCGATGGCGCAGTGGGTGTTCAAGGAGAACGGCGTCATACGCGTGTCGTCCGTTCACCACCATCGGGTCGGCGAGACGCAGCCGCCGGCCGCGTACACGATCATGGACGACGTGGTGTACTCGATCGAGGTCGAGCGGCTGTCGAACGGCAAGTGGGTGCCCTACGAGACGAACGATCTGCAGCTGGAGTTCGTGCGGATCGACCCGTTCGTGCGTATGACGATGAAGCCGGTGGGGAACGGCCGCTACGAGGGCAGGTTCAAGATCCCCGACGTTTACGGGGTGTACCAGTTCAAGGTGGACTATACGCGCATCGGACTGACGCATCTCTACAGCACCACGCAGGTCTCCGTGCGTCCGCTGCAGCACACGCAATACGAACGCTTTATACCGAGCGCCTTCCCGTATTACATAAGCGCCTTCTCCATGATGGCCGGCGTGTTCCTCTTCTCCCTCGTCTTACTCCACTACAAGGAGGACACGAAGCCCAAGTCCGAATAACGTCCCGACGCTCGCGGACCTTGTCGTCGAGCCGATCGGACGTTCTTTCTCAAAGGCTGCGGTATCACTTCTTTTTCTTCTCGCGGAAAGTGTGATACTAGTATAGGAGAACTAATAAGGGTAGAAAGTTGGAATACTATCTTATTTAACGTCGTTTCACACCGCGGTGCGTGCGATTCCCGATATCAACGCTGTTAAACGCAGCTCTCTATGGATAACGTGACGCTGTGTCGTAAAAAAAAAGTCGCATTCCTGTACGTACATGTTAAGATTTTATAATGGTTCTTCGGGAGGAAGCAAAAAGGAAAATCGAGGAAATTCCCATGCGGTTTACATTTGTGTTCCCACATTTCTTCAAGAAATAGAGCACTGTATATAAAACCATTGCAATAGATTCTATGTAAGATTGTACTAAGAGATCGCCGATGCTAATCGGGACGAATAAATGCTAAAAATTATTATAGTTATTTGATCTTGTTTGAGCCGGTAGGGTGAATTCTTATTTCACAATTGCAGCTGTGTTCGACATATCTTCAATACATTTTGAAACGTACGTAGGCTCAGTGTATAGTTGGAATTTCACCGAATTTATATGTTGAGATATTTGTAAGCTCTGTAAGAATTAGAGAATTTCGTCGAATTTGTATATTTAAAAATATATAAATAATTTGAGGACAAGTGTGCGCTGAAAATTATTCGCCGTTAATCTTGCTCGAGCCGCAGGGTCAATTTTCATTTGACAACTGTAGTTGCGTTCGTATGTCGATACATTTTCAAATTATCTCGGCTCTGTGTGTAATATTCAAGTTTCTCGAATTTATATATTTTAAAATACGTTTAGATTTATAGGTTTAGGTTTTAAATGTAATTCAAATTTCAAACGTTCAACTTTAAGCGTAGCTCAATTCGTCCTTTGTCTCTTTCCAGCTGTTACTTTAGAAGGAGACAACCGTGAATTAAACTGAGACTAAAGTTAAGCGACGTTTGGAAACCGGGCCTAAGTCGTTCAATTGCTCAACGTTCGATCTTAATCTCTCGACGAGTGATTGATTGTCGCAGCAAGTGTACGACCGGTCTACACGCAGGTAGCTTTGCGCGGGATAATTTCAAATGCGGTAACTCTTCAAGTGCTGCCAACGTTCGCCGACGGTAGCCGAGCCTGATTCCCCAACGCGCCGATTGGCCCCCGCGATGATCAGCTGAAACGACGACGCATTAAGCGACCTGGTGGGGGCGGAGGAGAAGGCCGTCCCTTCGCACGACCGTCGGGGCCAACCGTCAGTTGGCGTAGTACCTGATTCTGTTTATCCTCTTGAACCGAGCAGCAAGAGGCGGGCCAAAATTGGGTGATTCGCCGACGTAGAGGCGTTTCGGACGCATCCGGGTGAGTGCTCGCCGCTAATCTGAACTCTGCGTTTGCCTTTAATCGGCTTCGCGATGACGAGTAACGGAAAGAAAAAGGGAGGAAAAAGAACGGAGCGACTCGACATTTCGGTGGGTTGATCGGCTCATGGCTCGTTCTCGTTCCCCTCCCATTGTTGCGTTCGAATGCGAGGAACGTGCGCGAATTTTCAGCCGAGCGAACGGATTCCCGATCGTTTTGTCGACTCGAAATAGTTTGTGTGAAGCGCGTCGGCCCTCAGTTTGTGTCACTTGGAAATGGAGAAACCGTTCCGTTCAAGGCAGAAGCTTCCCCGTCGACGGCATCGGGAGTCGCCGACACTCGGGAGATCCGCGAAGTTGCTTTCGAACGAGGCTCCCTTGCAGTTTCTATCGATTAAGCCCGCGATTTGCGAGGGAAGCGATGCCGCGGGTCATTGTACCCGGCCGCGTAACTCCGTCGCGAGTATCTACATCATAGTTTCTTTCATCCGTTCGCAAACGAGGTCAGTGCAACAACGAAATCGTAATCAAAATAAGACACTTGGCATTCTGACAGCTCGACGCGGCGAAACTTTGCGAGGAAGCGAAGTTTCCCCCGGTTCGCCTGTGAACCGAGCGACCCTCGACCCTTTGTTCTCCAAGTCGTTTCCCGCAGACGAGCGGGGAATCGCTCGTCTCGTTCTCGATTCGCCACGATCAGCTGCTTCGAAATTACAAATTTTATGTCTTTGTAGAGACTCCGGATTTAAGATTCGATATTTAAGGTCTTTGTCAATCGATTTGTATTATGTGGATGAATTTTTAGAGATTTTAAATTTAAGATTGCAAACATTTAGCTTAAGATTCGACATTTACATTGTTTATGTCATTTGGACGGATTTTTAGAGACTCCAAATTTAAAATTGCAAACGGATTTCATTTCTTTAATGATTGACTTACATCTGGATTTTTAGAGATTCCACAAAGAATGCAAGCGGATTAAATTTCTTTATTCATTTTTAGATGATCAGCTCCTTTGTTCATTGTTTTAGATGAAAAATATGACGTCCACGTCGCGAAATGTCGCACTATATCGAATCCACTTGGAAACGGGCACGGCAAAGGGTCAAGATTCTCTCCGCTTCCGATCGAGCTGAATAAAAATCAGCTACATCGATCGCCTTTGTCAATATCGCTGTACATGTAACCTACCGTTCGTCCCACTTCAATTATTTGATCACCATTTTCACCCACGGTGTAACTCATTCGTGCGTGACTCGCAGTATTTGGCCGCCAGTGTTCGGCGACCGTGGGGGGATTTACGTCATGTAACACGTGTAACATCCGAAAAATCGATAAACATTTACGTCGTCCCGCGCGGGTGCGTTGAACCCTCCGCGCTATACGCGCAAGGATGATGTAACCTTTAACCTGGCGCGACGCAAGAGTACATTGTTCCGATTGTCTGACGAGTCCTAGATGAATTAACAATAACGCAGAATCCCCTGCAACGCCGGAGATAAGATCGCTCGAAGGGCGTGCTCAGCCGAGCACAATTTTATCAGGTGCAAATAATTTCCTTATCTAATAATAGACATGTGATGAAAATAAATATTACGTTCTCTATTATTAAAGAAAAAGTATTTCTTCACAGAGCCCTCAAGTATCCACGTAACACGGCATCTCTCTTTCATCATGTTAACTCTGGAATATTCTGCACGGCCGTCTCCGTTGCCGAGAGAGAAAGAGAGGGGGGGATATGGGGCTTTAAACATTGAGTTCTTTGTCTTTCTCTTTTCCCCCTCCTCTCTCTCTCACAATGAATCACGAGGCTTCGAACATTTTACGAGTGTTCAGAACGATAGAGGGCTATATTTTTCCGGAGCACACGCTCCACATGTGAGACCGAACGACAGGTGGTCTGACAATGAGAGCTATCGACTTGATCGGCGATTAATTCAGGGTATCTATCGTGCAAATGTTCGGGATGGATTACTCCGATCGGGAAATTATTTCCTTTTCCCTGGGAAACGCAATAGAAATTCTAGGAAACAATTGAACGATCGGAATCCATCGTGGAAATGTTCGGGACGGATGGACGGAAACGAAATAATTTCGTTTTCACGATAGGCGAGGCGAGATCTAGCTCGCCTCTTCTTTTTCTTTTATCAGATGTTTTTTTTCTTCTTCAAGTCGTACGAGCATCGCGATATCGTTGGACAGGTAGATTGCATCTCGATTTGTTTTGGATCGCTCGCTCTTGTTTACTCTTGCAACTTTAATCTCCCATTTAATTTTTATCTCTCGCAGATGCGCCGAGAAGGAAAAGTCGTCACGTTATTTGTCGATCGTTTGTCGCAATTGATGCTCGAGAGTCGTCGATCCGGCTCGAAAACGACGCAGAATTTCGGACGAAAGTGCGTAGCTCCCACCCTCGGAGGATGCGCTTATCTTCGCCGTGACGTCAGACGATGCAGAGCTGCCGACTGACGTCGTTGACTTCGCCTAATTTGGAAATGACGCGCCTTCGACTACCCGCACGAATATAAATTCTTTTATCGTATCGCTTGTAAAATCGCCTTGATGCCGATTTATCGTTCGCGCACTTGACATTGACACTCGTGAGTTTTCAGTAATTTGGGAAGTGGCGTGTTTGCGATCGTAAACGCAACCTTATCTCCAGCGAGAGCGGCCGTTTGCGAAACGTCGAAAGTTGTTTCGTTTATCGAAGACGCACCTGACTATCTGGCCACGATGTTGACATGCCTTCCTCTCTTTGTTATGCTTCCTTTTTGTTGTGTCTTCATATAACTCGATGTGATCTCACGTCTTACTGCGCGCGAAGGTGATCGGGGAAAAAAATAAGAGGAGGAGGAAAGAGAGAGGACGAATTCAAGGAACGTGCTTTACCACGACGGTGCATCCTTGAGAGACCCGCTATCTTTCTCTCTCTTTAACCGGGTCGTGGCGTGCAAAGAGGCTGCACGTAGCGTTTTGTTTGTATCGTCCACGGCCGTGCTGAAAGAGAAAAAGATTCGGCCGACCTTGCGCAATCGTGCGTTTGTTCACGCATGACACGCAATTTTAGCGTTCAAGACACGAGCGGCCATATTTGTGCAACGTTAAATCGCCGTGCGCTCCACGTTTATGAATATCAATTGCATTTCTCTCCGGGGAAATTTCTTAACAGTAAGAAAGAGAGCCCAGCGGCGCGTTGAGACCAATTCTTCGGTAGAAAATTCGAGAATTGCGAGTCGAAGCTGAGATACAAATTTTGACATACTTTATATCTAGTCAAATGCGATAAAAATTGGAAATGTACTGTAATTAGAATGTCTGTAGTAATAATTATTACAGTAGCCTCACCGTTCAATATGTAAGATGTTTTCTGATACGAGAAAATGTGATGCAAGTCGAGAAATCCGACTCGATTTTATTAGCGATTTATGACCTTCGAGATTCTCCAGTTATATATAAGATTTGAAGGCAACATATTATTCTAAAAAATAACAGTTAATTTTTCTCGTTGACGATACTCGTACAGATGTGCAGAGTTTATCTCGAACTGCTTATACTCTGTTTACAGATACAAGGCTGGCCAGCTGCGCCATTCTTGTTGTGTTGGTCTTCTCATCAGCCACACTACATCAGCCAACCCTGGCTGCCGGATCGTCGTAGTCGAGGATTGTTGTAGTTAGCTGTTGTGATGTCGCACACCACAGGAATGGACACGGTCTTGCCTGTACCGGATGCCATCCCCCCACTCGAGAAGCTGCAAGAGGACTTGGTCCTGCACCTCGTCCAGGAGGTCAAATATCAACCGGATCTCCATCAATTACCAAAATACACTTTACAATCCAATGCAACACAGGTGAGAAGTGTTTGGTGCAGAGAGAATGCGTTGAAATCTTATGAGCAGCATCGATTTATCAGCCACGATAAGTTAGCTCTGCTGCGTCATTTTTATGCCATAAGATTTTAGTGCGGTATCCTCTTAAGTTTGAAGAGGTAATAGATTAATGTCATTTGCGTAATTACCGAACGAATGTTCCAGGACGATGAGATAACGGTTGGTGCTCGGGACAGGTCTGCTCATGTACTGAGATGTCTAAAAGTGGTGTACGATCTGTCGTCGGACGTATTCTTCATCGCGATCAATCTGATGGACCGTTTCCTGACGAAAATGAAGGCGCGGCAGAAGTATATGGCCTGCATCAGCGTGTCGGCCTTTTACATGGCCGCTAACCAACGGATGCAGGCCATAGATGCCGACCATCTAGTCTCGATCTCACAATGCAGATGCACGGCCGACGATCTGAGGCGCATGTCGGGGGTGATACGAGAAAAGTTGGAATGGGCACCCGGTACTGAGCCCACCACCGCCCTGACGTTTCTACGGCTGTTCAACAATATGTTTCACGCGGTGGCACAGCAAATGCATCTCGGCGACGTGTACACCAGCATCGTCAAGGCACGCTATCATCTAATTTGGTCGTAGGGTAGTAAACAAGAAAATGATTATGGGCGCGTTCGGGAGCTCACTATCGACGCTATTTAGCGCTGGAAGTGTCGTTCTATCTTTCCTCGATGCATCATGAGCAGTAAAGATAGAATGACGCTTTCAGCGCTAAGTAGCGCTGATAGTGAGCTCCCGAACGCACTCTATGTCCTTCGACACCAAAAATAGAAATCTCTAATAGAATTCCAAGCATTTGTTGAGTCGTTGCAAGTCAATCTTTTAAGTACATCTGTGTTGATACGACACGTTTAAACTGCCCGCTCACGAGCACCGTTCGTTCTGTTTCAGGAATCCGAATTGATCCTCAGATTGGAAATGGTGGCTTGCGACGGTAATTGCACTAGTCTCAGGCCATCCGAGGTAGCTCTGGTGGTACTCTGCACTTATATGGACGCCGCTGTTAATCGACTGAATGCGAATACTGATGCCGCCGTGTCTGCCGACAGCCCATCCGCCGTGGGTCTGCACAACGCATCCACCATCACGCCATCCTTTCAAATACTGAAAGACGAGCTTATGGAATTTGCTGTGCTACTCCGAGAGAAATGCAATGTAAATTTTATTACGCAGCCTTTTAAGTCTTAATATTTGCCTTGAAGAAAATATCGAAGTAAATCATACAGGGGAAAGAAGTATTTTCGCGAGATTTAAATTCTTTAAATGAATGAGAATTTTCGAAGCAAGATTAAAACGAACTTAAAGATAGAGTAAAAGTAAACGCACGATAGTTTGACTCGCATAATTTATTTCATCTTTGAAATTCTGTTTTTCTCGCGTTTCAGATTTCAGAGGAAAGTTTCCGTTTCTCTCATGTAACGGTGGGCGCCATACTGAGCAAGTATAACGCCCAAGAGCAAACTCCTTACAAGCAGAAGCTAATCTGGAAACTTTCGTCGCGTACCGCAGGCATTTTACGCCCGACCGAAAAATTCAGGTCCGTGCTCCCCGTCATCGCGGAACATGCGCCGATCCCGTCTCCGAGAAGGATCAGGTATCTATCCTGCCACTTCTCTTCGTCACAATTAAAGAATATTATACATTGTCAAGGCATCGGATTGAGCCTTTCTTTCTCTTGCAGGAAAAACCGTAAGTACACCCGACGCCATGGCAATAAGAGACGTTAAAGTGGCATCGCCTTTTTCTTTGAGGTACGGTTTTTATTAAATATTCCGCTATTGAAGACATTTTTATAAATTATTACGAATCTTTGAAACGAGCGCTTGTTACATGCCCACTTTTTACTTTCCTTTCAGAGTACGGCATTGGAATTTCCATCTAGTGTATCAAGTCAATGTTACTTTTGATATACTGAATATCTGCTACAAGTAAAAGCGCAAGATTTTTACTTTTTCCAGTATGAAGATCAAAATTTTCCTCGAGAGTACAAACATCGTTTCATGCATTACGATGATTTCTCTTAGAAGCTTCGTTTGTGTCATCTACTAAAATGTATATACTGGCAAGATACAAGTTTCTTACGACATAAAATATGTTTTGCCAGTATGTACATTCATCATGGTTGCATTGTAATATTAATCTCGGCTCACTGTCTCATTGTATTACGCGCACACATTTCGGAATATTTTATAAGGAAGACAAGGATTTCTCTCTTCGTTCCGGCGACGAGATCAAGTATTTATTATAGGGATGGGAAGAGAGAGAGAGCGAACAGGTACACAAGCGCTGTGACAAAGCGGAGTAATCATCTTTAAGAAATATGAAAATCAATGTGATACAAAAAAATCCTTTATAGTTATTATCTAATTAGAAAAACAACATCGCTAAAAACGTATATCTATATATTTACAAAGTGTGTTAAAAAAGGATTAAAGTTATAAAAAGGAAGAGAGAAAAAGTAATAATAAGAATTACGAAAGTGTTGACAATTTCACATAACGTAAAACAGTTATGATGGAAAGAGAGTATAAAGATAAGTTTGTCGACACGCGAATAAGAGTTGAATACGCTGAAACTTGTGCTTACTGGATTTGACGAGGAAGGAAAGTTTTTCGTTGAATCTAGTTACGTTATGTCTCGAAGTACGCTTCCCTCTCACCATATCTTCATTACGAGAAGATGGAACAATCGATAAAATATAGGTTTGTTGCACTGCGAATGAATTTCTTGGTGTGTTACACACGTCAGATAAGTAATGAACGAACGACAACGGGAAATTTACGAATTGTAGAATGAATTCATTCTATATTTTGAAATGCACAAATGTGTAATCCGGAGTGTTGGGAGGCAAGTTTCGCTGTTGTGTTGCAATACAAAAGAAGAGATCAAGTGATATTCTTTTTATGTATATTTCGAAGATAAACCATTGTATTTTTTATTTTGTAAAAATCGTATTCGGATCTTTTCTGCATGAGATTATGTCGTGCGCATTTAGGTTCTTTTGCAGTAATAATAGAGATGCTTCGTATTGATATCGGTTTACGATCATTCGTCTGATTCGTCGCGATATGGTAACACGAGAGAGTGTCAAGGAAGAGATACCCTAAAGTCCGATTCAAATCGTTACCCTTAGTTTTAGGGCCTTAGCTGAATGGCCGACTTGTAATTTCAAGACAACGTTATATGCTTTGCCTTGAAATTACATGTTACTTTAAATTTTTGTCTCGATATAATTTATGTAAACACGTGAAAGTAACAATTTTATTTGCGAACAGTAATAATAAATATTTTATAAATGTCTTGAAATTACGAGTCAGCCATTCTGCTAAGGTCTTTAGTGTACTGTATACGTTTAGAGACCGCGTTGCGTTTTAATTACGGATTATTTCAAGAGGGGATCAAGGTATATAATAAAGGATGATGTGAGAATCGCTGCGAGATACCAGTGTGCATTTGTTACAGACCGCATAACATCACACACTTAAATTGAGAGTAATTACGATATCGAGATGTAAGAAGTGAAATACATTGCATAGAAATTCGTTCGAAGTGGCAGACGAAAGCGCGTGAACTATACGTCGTAATGCGAGCCAATACTTACAATCTTATTCGGCAAAAACGTTGAATCTTTGAGATGGTCTCTATATATTTTCATATATATATATTTCTCGTCGATTTGTGCTGCACCAGATGCGTTAAACGATAAATCGTTATTCGCGGTAGCTCACAATTTGGCGTTCAGGAGCTAGTCTGCGTTTTTGTAACAGAAGAAAAAGGAAAAAAAAGCAATTGTTCAAATAAGTTTACAAATCTTAGCCAGTTTACGCTAGTCATAAGTCATACCGTACTTTCATTTCGTGATCTGTGAAAATACAATCTCTTGTTGCCCTGCGGCATTAATACAATTAATAATGCAAATTTTATATCACACGAAGCTTTTCTTTTTTTATTTTCTAACAAATCTCACCACGCATCATAAACGCTAATAGTGTTCGCCAGCGTCTTTACTGGAAACGAGTCGAGATGTAACGACAGCACAATTCAATTGAGCAAAGTTGCGCGTCTCAGGATGTCAGCTGGTGCTAGAATGTTCTGCAGATGCAGCGTAGCCATTAAAAATTTGAGACTGCAAGAACGAGATGAAGAGTCTGATTTTATAATATTGAACCTGTAGAATTGTAGATTGTATAATTTCGTTTCTTTTTGGAAAAGGAGAATAGAAAGTCTCTCTCACGAAAATATTTCTATGTGTATCGTGTATATATATATATATTATTTATTTCATCTAAATTTTATGAAAGAGAGAGATCACAAATTATATCGGTACTATACTACAAGTGTTAATTAACATACTATTTCTAGATTCCTTCAATGGTCCTCTTGCGTGGAAGCAAGACGACGCATCTGCGTTTTATATTGATGATATAAAGATCGAATTTGTAATGCATAAAGTTCGTTTGTAATAAAATTATAAAAGAATACAATATGAAGATAAAAGTAATCTATACTGTAATCTTTTGTTTGGCAAAGAGAGACAATCTCGTACTATTCATGTCCATTTTCACGATGAAAGTACATACACATACGTACACGTAAAAAATAAGCATGTAACAATCTTCGGCACATGTATGCGTTTAGTTATAAGATCACATGAATCATGCACGGAGAGTGCAAGTTGTAAGGCACAAAGACATCGAATGTTTTGTACCAGTTAGATATACATTTCGTCTCCTTAAAACAGAAGCATAGGCACCTAAATATCTATTAAAATCAAAAATACTCAAGGATTAGATCGACCAAGGCTGGCAGTTTTATTTAAGTTTACATTTTACCACGACGTTTCGGCCAGTAATACTGGTCCTTATCAAGTGGATCCTATTGCTTGCGACAACGAAGCATCTACAAATCAATATCTTAGTCAAAATATACAACGGTAATCTCTTGGTGACACGACACGTGAGAAGATGTACATTTCTATGTGCGATAACGATTAGCCTAATTTTATATTTTCCTGTAAGTTCTTTTATAATTTATTATCGTTTTATATTATGACTAAGAGATTTATTCGTAGTTCCTTTTATAATTTATTACCGCTTTATATTTTTATATTTTACAATTTATTACCGTTGTATATTTTGACTAAGATATTGATTTGTAGATGCTTCGTTGTCACAAGCAATAGGATCCACTTGATAAGGACCAGTATTACTGACCGAAACGTCGTAGTAAAATGTAAACTTAAATAAAACTGCCAGCCTTGGTCGATCCAATCCTTGAGTATTTTTGGTTTTATTTACTGGCGATACAACAATTCTAAATTTGATCTATTAAGATATTATGTCTTCTGAACGAATGTACTCCCCAATGTCCGCTTGGTGAAAGCAAATAATCGCTGTAGGATCTGCATGTTTGCAATCGGTCGTACTCTTCGCAGCAATACCAAATCCCTGAAAGATTAAATGGAAAAACATGAATGAGCCTGACATTGTTTCATTGTCTCTTTCTTCCATACAACGATGTTGAAGAGACTGTCTCAAAAATGCGCGTCAAGAGATTTGGATGTTCAGCGCAACATACCAGTGGTAAATCATTCATAGAAAACACGACGATGCCTTGATACTGCGAGGTACCTTCCGTTATGCGAGCCAGACCAGATTTCATAATGTGATGCCCGTACAGGAACTGTTGCTCCGCCGAGGGTTTCACCCAAATTTTGTGCTTGATAAGAATTTTGTACTCGATAAATTAACATCTCGCAGGGTAGATACAGTTCAAGAGTGCATACTCACCTGTGCGTAAGGCGCCAAGTGATGCAACGCGGTGATGCCGAGCTTGAACTTGCCCGACTTGGTGAATTTGCCGAAGCAGGTGCCTATGCACAGCAAGTGATCGGGTCCCACGGTGTTCGCCAGAGGTAAAACCTTCTCCGACACATAGTACACCCAGTTCTTTCTCTCCCGAAAGCAATATATGCCGTCCGGTCGGTCGATCAGAATCTTCACGTTCGCGCCAATGCTGCGGAAATTTGCAATTTATTATGCATGTTCGACTTGCAGTCTACACTTTCCTGGAAGATCATAAAACAATTGGCGTACTCGAGTTTGTCCAAGAAGTTACTTACTATTTCGTCAGCTTCTCGAGTACGAGCTTCGTCTTTTCCTCCGATAATTGGCTCATCCTTGCAACTCGGGAATTATCTGGCCAGTTATTTATTTATTCGATTTGAAAATTTCTATCTCTCCACGTGGGACGTCGTAAACACGTATGACAACAGTGGCGATCGATGCCAACCATAGACATAGTATATATAGACTGCGCGTTCCCTACTTCACTCGCGTGAAAACATGCGCCAACTTTAGAAAGAGATAGCTGGTGTGGGACCGTATCTTTATCTTTGTCGAAATGAAGTAGTGGGGGTAAACAAAAGAGTAGAGGAACGATAGATAGACAGAGAAAGAGCTACTACGTAAGCATGTTGTCTCTTTCTCAGGTGTGCAAAGCCGTCTGCAGCCACAATGCGCAGTCTATATATATTATTTAGTCTATGGATGCAACGCGCTCGCTCGGGTCTAGTGAACTCGAAGTGAAATCGATTCGAGAGCAGCGCTACCAAATTCCCCCTCCACGGGCCAGGCCGCGCATGTGCCATGGATGGTTACGTATATTATGGGCGCACTGTTTTGGCCTAATTAAAAATTTATCTTTAATTATATATAAATGTGTCTGTAAACAATTATTTTTATGTCCTACTCTTTTTTATTTTAAAGAGAGAAAGAGAGAGAGTGTGCGCGTGTGCACGCGCGCGCGTACCACGCATGCGTCGGCACATGTGGCCGGCCGGTAGGCCCTGGCAGCACTGGACTCGAGAGTCCGATGGTCCGAGGACTCGCGATTAGTCGTTCGATTGCGCCGCGATGCGTCAGCTCGTGTCGCGTCGGCTCGTATCTCGCGCCTAGCCGCCGTTGGGGGAGTATTTTTGCTGAGCTGGGCCTCGTGTTTACATCCGGAGGACTCGCCGCGAAGTCGGCCCCCGCCCCTCCTGCCGCGCCCTCGCCCGTACCGCTGATCGCGACACATCGCTACGGCCGTCTCGGTGCCGCGAATCCTTTCCCGGCACTTTCCCGGCACTTTCCCGTGGACGGCGAGGAAGAACGAGAGAGAGAGAGAGAGGTCCAGCGAGGTGGACGCGCGTGTCCTCGTGTGCGGTTTAACTTTCTCAAATTCGGCGGCAGAGCGGCGGCGCGCGATGAAGGTGACGGTGACGACGCTCAGCGACGACAGTGTCTTCGTCCTCGACGTGAGCGAGGAACTGGAGCTGGAGAACTTCAAGGCGTTCTGCGAGATCGAGAGCGGCGTGCCGGCCCACGAGATCGTCATCGCGTTCAACGGCCTGCCGCTCATGGACGACAAGAAGTCGTTGCGCGACCACGGGATACGCGACGGGGACGCGGTCATCCTCCAGCACATGCACCAGAGCGGCAGCGATCTCAACCAGCAGCCCTTCAACAGAGGTGGGTAGGCCCGCCCTGAGGGACGGATTACGCCAAGAAAACTCGCTGCACAGTACAGCCCGAGGAGCGTCCGCTGTTTTTGTACTTTTACAGATGCACCGAGCCGCATCTCGGCAGTTCACTTTATTCTTATCTCGCTGATAAAAAACGCAGATACCTAATAGGCCTCGAAAGCCTTGGTCTTTGCCCTCGGCTTAATTATGCATGCCTTTGCCAATCTCGGCGTTCAGTCTCAATACTCAAAAGACCCAAAGTAATTTTGTTTCATCTCTCTTTCCCTTGTGCTGTGCTCGACATATACATGTATCTCGTTGGAAAATATGAACGTACTAAATTGAAAGAAACGTCGCTCTAGCCATTCCATTACTGGACTTCAGTTCTATCAGAATCCCTGGGACCAGCAATAACCAACGCCCATCGCCGATCGCCAACAACAGAGTACAAAATCCCCGCAGCGAGGACGATCCCGCTATGATAAAAAACATGTTCCTGGCTAATCCGGATCAGCTGGCGCTGCTGAAGCAAAACAATCCCAGATTAGCCGACGCGCTGCTGTCTGGGAATCTTGGTAAGTGGCACTGTTTTTCAATATGACAGCCTAATTTTGCCTAACTCTGCGTCTCTTGCACCCTTGGTCTAAATATCCGTGCATTATAGACAGATTTTCGACTGTACTCAGAGAGCAGATAGCCGCTCGAGAAGAACGGCAAGCACAACGGCTGAGAATGATGAATGCCGATCCCTTCGACACCGAGGCGCAGCGGCTGATTGCCGAAGAGATCAAGCAGAAGAACATCGAGGCGAACATGGAGGCCGCGATGGAGTATAACCCGGAAACATTCGGCACCGTTGTCATGCTATATATCAATTGCAAAGTCAACGGGTTTCCGGTTAAAGCATTCATTGACTCAGGTATCATTGCTGGCCCAAGGTCTGGCAGCGAGCGCGTCGAAACGCCAAGTCTTTCTTCAATTTTTATTGCATCTTGTGCTCCTCGTGCCGTATTTCTCCGTTTTTTTTTTTTTTTTTTTTGAGAAGATTAATACTTCGCGGCCACTAAGGCTGTTCCAGAAGGGACCTAATCAAATGAGATGCCGCCGCTCTCTCCCCTAAAGAGCTTCGAGTCGCCACTTCCTCCTAAAAGGAGAGCGACCGAATAATACCTGACAAATCCTTGGTGGGATTTGAAATCGAATCGGTGGCTTATTAGCCCAGCGCCACGAATGAAAGACCATACACACCTAAAGTGAAAGAAAAATCTGTCTTCACTTTCTTTATCGCATTTTGTACTTGAGATTATTTTTAAGTGTCTTTGTTTTGTTTTACATCCCGGGAGAGGGAGGGAGCGGCTGAGTAAACGTCTATTTTTATACGTATACATCTCGAATAATCATTCTGCACGGCATGCAGAAAAACAATTTAATTTTAGCACGCATGACCTCCGTCCGTGAAAACAGGAGAAAAATATTCTCGAGTTCTCGATTTAAATATCTTGGAGTGTATTTCGATCGATCCTAGAAACAAAGGCGGATAAAGCGTTTTGCAAAAATTGCCTCTAAGCATTGCAACGTCAGAGATGTCATTTTTGTAATCCTAGGAGCACAAACCACCATTATGTCCGCTGCCTGTGCCGAGAGATGCCACATTATGCGTCTGGTGGACACTAGGTGGGCCGGTGTCGCCAAGGGTGTTGGAGTACAACGCATAATTGGTCGTATACACATGGTACAAATACAGATCGGCAACGATCATCTGACAACATCCTTCAGTGTCCTTGAGGAGCAGCCTATGGACATGCTGTTGGGCTTGGACATGCTCAAGAGACATCAGTGTTGCATAGATTTGAAAAAGAATGTCTTGAAAATCGGGACCACGGGTACGGAAACATCATTTTTGGCCGAAGGTGCGTTCTATGCTCTGATTACTCTTAAACACTCGATTAATCAATATTGAGCAGTGAGATTAAGAAACGTTAGCTAATAATAATAATAATAATTTGTTAATCATTTTTACAGGAGATTTGCCAGAGTGTGCAAAATTGAGCGGAAACAGTGATGAAGCTTTAGACGACAGAGATCTCCAGCGTGCTCTCGAGGATAGTACGAGAGATGCTAAGAAACAGAGGCAGCAGCACGGTAAGTATGTATCAGCCCAGGCTATCCTTTTAATCCTCTTGTCTACTTTTGCTCCACACTACACACTCCCTCCATTAAAATAACAAAATTATTAATATAACAAAACAATATCTTCACCTTGCCCCCCTATGCCTGGTCTGTCTTTAGTATATTTTTATCACACATATTGCTTGTTCGGTAAATAAATTTAAATCGCTTAAATTTTGTTCTCGATAGCAACTCAAAGTTATAAATATTTTATTTGCTTCTTTTTTTAAAGTATATGCAATTTTCCTCGTCAATGATGAAATTTTTATTGAAATTTGTTAGAGGGGCAAGGCAGCAGTAATCAAGGGTCGACAAGACCTGTCGCCTTGGAGACTACGATCTATCCGCATGATCCGTTTACGGAAGCCACGGTTAAAGAACTACAGGCCCTGGGTTTTACCAGGGCGCAAGTCATTGCGGAATTGCGTAGATTTAACGGGGATAAGACCCAGGCTACCGCCGCGCTGTTTGCGAAATCATTGAAGTTTTGAAAGTTGTGACATGCAATCCGAATATACGAGTAATAGAGAGAAGAGACAGGCATAGAGTGAAATTGTGAATATAAGATAGGCAATAACAAAAGAGAGAGGGACAAACAATTTTTTAAATAATTTTTAAGTATCTTCTACGCGCCAGTAGCTATTTGATACACTTCTAATTACAGTCGATTCTCCGTTCTGTGAAATCGTTGGAATCAAATAATTAATACGCAACTTCCTTGTAATCTTCATTCTAGTATTATTAGAGTGAAAATATTATACACGATCGGTTTTTGTATGTGCTTTCTAATATGTATATACAATCACAATAACAGCATTAGAGAAGAACATCGTTGTTAGCTATGAGGTTTCAACCAATTCACAAAACGGGGAAGGCAACATTGCCCTTCAGTAAACGGAGATTCAACACATTTATCAATAGAGTTGATATTAAAACATTTTTATAGCTCAGAAACAAGTTGAAGAATATTCGAAAACGTTGAAGAATAACGCGCATCACAGAGTAACTCTTATGAAATTGTATAAATGACTCAGAAATACTAAGATAAGATGAAAAGTTATATTTGAAGTATACTTCCTTGTATATTTTCTTACACGTATGCCTAATTGCATTATTTCCAAATAGTATATATACATATATGTATATACTATTATGCTGAGTAACAAATTGGTTAAAGGAGGGATTAAATTGTTACGTGACCTAGTACTTAACATAATTAATTGCATTATACTTGCAAAAGTAAGACTTGTGTATACATAATTGCGCTGAAGGGAGTCAATATAAATAAGCGACAAGATTTTTCTATAAATCCTTCGAAAGATGCATATATCTTTCGCGGTATACTTTGTAATTTTTCATTTAAGTGGTGAATATGGACAAATGTATATATCTAGCATTAATAGATACTCGAAATAAATCGAGCACGAAATGGGATAGACAGAATATTTGCGCTAGAACATCGACTTTATGGCTTGATAATATTTCAGAGAATTTGACGTTGGACTCAGCTCAAACTCAGTTCCTCATTATTTACCGAAGAAACGTTGACATTGTACATAAAATAATAATTGCAGGTGGATAGAAAGATTTTCCATTTTTTTTTTATATAAAATATTTGTTACGATAGCAGTTATGAAGAAGTGTCTTCTACGGAGGTGTGGATCCAACGTATAGATAATCTCGATTTTATACTACTGCTATTTTTCTTTTGACAAAGTAGGTTTTGGTACATTATTGTAATTTTTTGTCATGAAATAAAAACATGAAAAACATGGCTTGATTTATTTATCAGTTCAACATTAATTTAGCGAAAGCTGGTGTAATACGAATAAGAGCTTTATTGTAAGAGAATAACAAATTCTGATCTTACAAGAAAGAACTCAAAAGGAAAAAGCAACAGAAAATTCACATTTAATGACATTTATTACTGTATTTTAGCTTTCAGATACCGCATTCTCGGTAAGAGAAGAAGAACGCATATAAATTTCAAACGAATAATATTTCAGTCTCACCTTATATGCGATACTTGGGCAACTTTGAAGCATATGATTGGAGAGCCTGTCATCTAAAGCTTCGTCACTGTTTCCGCTCAATTTTATTTGTAACTTACAAAAACGGTAGCAAAAAGATAACAGTTATCATGTTCCCTCATTATCAGGTAATTCGATGTCCATCCACTTGAGATTCACAATTTTCCCTGTGCGAGCGGACTCCTCGCAGGCCGTAGCAATCTTGCATACCGCCAGGATCTCCCTAGATTTGACCAGCGACTCGGCCTTACCATGCACCACATCGAGGAAGTGCTCGAACTCGCTTCGGTAAGCGTTCTCGAAGCGGCTGGCGAACGAATACAAGATCGGGGCGGTGGTCAGACCCTGCAGGTCGTACTGCCGATGAACGGAGTTCGGCTGTTCGTTGTCAGCCTGCACCATGCCTCGCGGACCGAAGGCCTCCAGACGTTGATCGTATCCGAACGTGCTGTTGCGCGACAAATCGATCATACCAAGAGTCCCTGACGGAAAGTGCATGGTCACGGCAACCGTGTCGAAGTCCCCTATCGCCTTGATCTCCGGGACGTTCGCGTCAGCCAGGACCGAAATCTACAATCGCATTTTCTATAATTTTCTATAATTTCTATGACAGGTATAGAGGAAAGTTCCCTATTACGAGATAGACTCCTAATGTGATATAGAGGAGTTTATGTTAAATTAATAAGCATCGTCATGAATCCGCCATGAATTTATTGTCCTTGAAGCGAAATCTGTGAAATTTAGTGGAAAATTCATTGTTAGATTGTGTAATCGTTGCGAAAAAAGATTTGTGATTGAATTTGGCTGTTGGAAACCTACTATCTCATATTAGAAATCTACTTCATTAAAGAGGACTTTCCTCTACGTCAACGACAATCTGTGTAATTTTTTAATCCTTCAAGATGTAACTATGAAAGATGATTATTAAGTTTTCCTCAGATATGTATGTAAAAATCGTACCTTGTCCGGATATTCACCGAGAATCCAGGTAATCATATCGATATCATGGACCAGGCAGTCGTGGAAAATTCCGCCGGACGATTTCAAGTACTCTACACTGGGCAGGGGAGAGTCACGAGAGATCGTTTTAATCATATGAACGTGCCCGACCTCCCCGTTGCGAACTCGATCTCGTACATTCGAGTAACTGGGATCGAATCGTCGGTTGAACGCGCACAACAGCGGCCTGCCGACTTTCTTGGCTATCTCGTAGCATTTGACGATGTCTGAGATATTCTCCGCTATGGGCTTCTCGCAGAAGACCGCCTTTTTCGCTTCCAGAGCTTTAATAACAATGTCCTCGTGCGTGAAGGTCGGCGACGCCACGACAACTGCGTCAACGCTTTGCAACAATGAAAAATGACACATTCGTTCATATATAACGTATGTTATAGATTCAGATATATATTATCTAGATGTGTAATCTATATTAATGTAATCTAAGATTATACGATTATAGATAGAAATCTATATTATAGTACACATTTTGCTGTGTTTAATTTCTAATTTTAATTTTTAATTTCACTTTCAGCTTGATCATCGGCTTTTTCATTTCATACAACCACTTACTTGGGATCTTTGAATATCTTGTCAGATTGCTTGCTACTTAGAAAGGTAACGTTGTCCAGACGCCAGTACTTTCGTATACTTTGCCAGTTGCTCTCGATATCATCAACAATGTATAAAAGCTGGACACGTCTATTAGAAACTATATTCGTTAAATGTATCGTCCCGGCTCGACCTACGCCGAATAGAGCCACTTTAAGTGTCGGATCCTCCCGGTTATCTGTTTTTAGGTTGAGGTTTTCTAAGTACCTACGAAAGATCTTTCTCTTAGTAAAAGAATATTGGAAGCCCCGAAGGTATTTCCACCTTTGAAAGTGGAAAACTGCGTTAATTATAGCTCTCGCGTAAAAATCATTTACAAGCTCAATTATCGAGATCACAAAACGGGGTAAATGAATACAATTAATTCATTACGATTAATAGATGGCTGTAATTTTTATTTCAGGACCAGGGTTTTATCGCACGTGTATTCACTCTGCGCCTCGTGTTGGCTTTAAATTGAAGTTATCAAACGAGTTGTAGCAGATTTTAGGGACGTGAAGGTAAACGCGTTCTTCGAAAATAAATAGTTTTTCCTTCGAAAGGATTTCCGTCAATCGATCATTTAAGATAAACCGTGATGCGAACTTATTTCGCACGATAATTCAAGCTGAATTAATTACTCACTTGTTGTAGATATGATCTTCCGCAGGTGGTAAACGCTTCGATTTGAGATACGGAGACATCTCTTTGAACTTCACAGTTGCCATCGTTGTCACAAGTTATATGTACTTTGATTATTCGAAACTCTGTCGTGACCGGGAGATTGGTTTGTGGCCAACGATGCCTCGATAAGAACTTCTTATATACGAGGAAACGAACGAAAGTGGGGGCTATTTACTGCGACCCATAGAGTATATTCGCGACAAATATAAAGAGAATACGTTTCTTGCAATAAGAAACAATTACGTTAGCAGCTGATGTATTTTTCGCACGAAATGTGTTAAAAAATTTTGCTTGAGATTAAAATACTTTAATTCAATTGTTCTTGGGATGTCAAGAAACTTGACATTAAGCTGGTTGGTGACATCTTAAAGTACACTTTTACTCATTATTAAAGTGTCATTTAAATGACTCTCGGCTATTGGAACGGCTTCCAGATGGTTCATTAAATTCATTTACAAGGCACAATGAGAGAAGTGCTGCGACGTACTCGTCCAGAAAGTGAGACAGAGAGAAACGAAGCTGAAATTAAGTGGTGACGGAGAAAATTTTACAATGTTTTCAGCTTAGGTATTCGACACGGCCGGCTGTACGATCACAAACTTTAATTATAACGCAGACTTGATTTGTCTGTGAGTTTATATTTATTTACGCGATGTATTTACTTCCATAAGATTGTATAGTTAGGATCTTTGGGCGTTTTTGTATAATTATCAAGCGACGCCGCTTCATTTGTTAAATCGTTATCACGATGACACGTATCGAACGAAGGACTTTATCGCCGCAATTTACGCTCACCACAGATATAGCGTTATAATTTTAGGACTTTGTAAAACTAAGCCTTATAATTAGACGTACTCTCTAAAAATCAATCAGTGCATTATCACTGAAAACAGTTACAAGTATAACAGAATTATTCAACGTAAATTAATGAATATTCATTGATAATCCACTGATTGACTTTTAGAGAGTACTTCTATGTTTTTCAGTGCGACTTTTAAAACAGTTCGAAGTAGCTGCTAAGTTCATGCACCAGTTAATACGTCGATAAACGATTTGTAAATTTCCACATGCAATAGAAAGGACAAGGGGTTATCGGCGAAATAATCGCGTCGTATATCGTATCTTTGGAATAAAAATAGATAGTAAAAAGTCGCGTACATTAACTTAAATCGTATGCAAATTAAGATCACGTGAAATGAAGATGGAAATAAGCAATCTCTCGCTCGAACGAATTACATAATTTATTTGGGCAAGGAAAATTAAATAACAAATAACAGCAACAAATTCACGAACGTAGAATGCGTCATGCGCGATTCACCAGAATCGCCCGTGTTCGCTGATAAGATTTAATGAAACGGCATTCCCGACGTTCCTCTCATTCTGAAATCAATTGGGACCATATGTTTTATCGTGCGACTACGATCACGTTCGGCAGATGCAAACTAGATCGGCTTTTGGAATTTAAACGTTCCAATTGATTTAAATCATTTTGTTTTAATCAATCGCCAAGCGTAAATTCCAATCGCAATTGCATTCGCCGGACGTGTTTAATGTCAAAAAGAAGTTTGTGACGACACCACCGACTGTGCCAGCGAGAAGCTCGAGATACAATTTGATTTGTAATTATAAATTTAATTCGAGAACGAGACAGAATTCTTCGGCGAAAGGTTTGCAGATGGCGATTGTCGGCCGACGAAAATTTCGTGAATATTCTCGAGAAACGAAAGGAAAACGAAGGCAACGTTTACTTAGTCTTTTTTATTAGCTAGCACACACTGGTATCTCACAATTCGTCGTTTGCCTTACGATACCATTGCTCCGGCACGAAAACAACCTCGTCCCCGTAGCTTTCCACGTATGCCGACCTTTTTCTTCTGTCGCTTCCCGGATCGGCGTCAACGAGACCTATACTCGATCTAGTCGATCTATTAAACGGAAACGTACCATTATTGTATGAAATATTTTATAACATTTCCCTCGTATCTTATGTGAAGGTACCCTAGTAGCACAGTGCATTGGCTAAACATTGGCTCAGTGTCGGCAATTAGAGAAATTTATTGCGAAAAATATTACCTCGGCCAGGGTTTGGACCTGGATCTCCCTACACTCTAGGCGGGTAGAGAGACGCCAGTTGCGTCGTTTATTAATTTTCCTATTGGTTAATTATTTACTGGCGACAATAAGTCGCTATTCTTGTTACTGAATTGTACATGCACAATTGAATTTTGAAGAAATAAGTTTAAAAGATGAAAACGAACGGCAACATTGTATTCTTTAACTAATTAATGTATAGCATTATAATAGAAACACTAGTGTGTTTAAAGGAACCGCTTATAACAAGGCTTCAATTTAAAAGCGCTTTAATTAAAATATTTTATACCAGTATTTTTCGCAAATTAATGATAATTGCTGAGGTTTACGCAGTTTACTCCACGCACCGTGAAGAGAATCGATAGTATCTCCGTTAAGCTTATGAATAATTGAAAGCGTATATTAGTCGACACTCATATCGAAAGTAAGTTGAATTAGAATTACCTCTTCTTACTCCCATTAAGATCCGCCGTTACCGTAAGATCACGCGGCTTCGAGAAGTCGCATTCTAACGTAAAAGCAGCGTCACCAGGTGTTAGCAGCTCGTCATCGTGCTGAATCACTACGATATTGCTGTATTTGTCACCGTCCTTTCGCCGAAATGAAAAAGAAAAATGTTAGACGGCACAAAAACTCGTAGATCTTAAAACACCATAAATTGTCGAAAAGTATATGTATGTATACTGTACATCGAGTAAGCGAATCAAGTTCTCTGTTCTATCCTGCGAACGATTTCTCGTAGAGACAGAAAGTTATAATTGTAGCGGGAGAAAGAGAGAGAATTATTGAAAAATTGACAAAACATCGAGAAACAATTCAAAATCGCGCACCAAAAAATGTCCTAATTCGTATGCCGACTTTCCTATTCCATTATTTATTTAGATTAATGAATAAAAATGCGAGGGAGAAATTTTAGAAATTAATCGCGAGTTATACGCTCGAAAATATGATACAAGTTACATTGTTTTTTCACCATCATTTGTAATATACAGCGATTTAAGAACTCGATTGTTTAGAAAATTGTTTGGACGCTTATTACTTTTGGCAAATGTAACGTAAAAGAAAGTGAACGTTTTTCTGCGGAAAGAGCGAGAACCACGTTTGTTTGAGCGCACTTAACTCGTTTTCTTGATAAGGCTAATGACGATACGCTCAAACCAGTTTGAAGAAAAATCACTGCTAGAAACGTGTAAATTACGTACCCTTTCAGTGTCGCATTTGTGTAGAGGAATGCTCATAGTGAAACTTCTGCCGCGAACCGGATCGATGAAGCAGGACGGTTCTCGGGAATGGAAGCTACCCTGGGTGTAGATCACCCCTGAGAAGTCCTCCGTGGTTTTAAACTCGACGGTCATTCTTTCAGCGCCGCATCGCAGCCCCACGCGATCGTAGCCCTCCGTGGATGCACCAATTCGCATGTCTTTAGATAGATCCTGCTGCCAGATCTCTTCTGCAATCAGACAGCGCTTGCTTGGTTTATCATTGTTCACCGTAAATTAAAGCAAAGTAGACGAAGGAAATGAAGTGAAGTTTAATCAAAGTCTGAATGAAGGTGCAATTTACGACGATTTACTCCACTTCTGTAGAAGATTTCGTAGACAATAGTTTTAGGGTAAAAAGAAAATTAAAAGCACTTTGAATTTTAAATTATAAGTTCTTAAAGTAATCGTACGTTTTTAACAAAAGCTCCCTTATCATTAAATTAGACTTAACAGGGCACCGTGCAAAATCGCAATCTATTGCGGTTTTCTCTCACCTGCGCTACCCATCAGCTTGGTGTTCGCCAGGAACGCGAGTAGCAAAATTGAACGCATAGTCCCGTAGAAACGGTAAGCCCGAACGAACGACCGTGAACTGGCGGTAAACTCCGGTTCGTTCAACGCCAACGTGCCGTCTGCCGCGGTTACCTGTCAGGGTGACTTTCTTCCCTCTCCACCCTCCCCACTCCACTTTAATTCGCATCCAAATCGGATACTTTCACCGCGTGACAAGACGAACGTCTTCTTCGCTTTTTCTTCTTTATTTCTTTACACGTCGTGGTCATTACATGGATAATCGATCATTGTCGCGGCTCGTTGACTCGGAACTGCCGGTTCTAGCGTCATTCCTTTTTGTAAATTCACACAAATTATTTTAGTTATTAATTTACTGTGTCGACTTATAAGAAAGTAAGAACAGATGCAGCCAGTTACAATAATAACATTGAAATTGCACACACAATTATCTGGATTATTTTCTTATTTATACCCCACGCTCTTTTCCTATCTTTCCTATACTGTGATAGTTATGCAAAGTTTAGCTTTTTCAAAACTTACAATTTTAGACATTTTGTAAATCATGATTTCTGGAAATCACTTAAAAAATTTGTAAAATTTTAGTGCTATCTTCTTACAGGTTATGTTCCCCTTTTTCGATTTTTCGGGAAGTATGCTCGGAAATTTCAATTCTAGAAATTCGCGAAAGATCAATTTACTTACATTCTTGGAATTTTAAATAGTTCGACCTCTTTGCTGATCATGTTCTGCTGATACTTTGCCTGTTTTCGAGATTCTCGATTTTCGCGATTTGAAGTTTGAAATTTTTGGAATACCAATTCTTGGAAATTTTGATTGTGCTACCTCTTAGCAGATCATGTAATCCTGATACTTTTTCAGTTTTCGGGATT